CTCTCTCGGAGGCCCTGAAACCTTTTGCAGCTCTGCCCCCCTGACCAAGGTTCAAGAGCACATCCTCCTGCCAGAAAGGGGATTATCTTTTGAGTAATCTTGCTGCATTAAATTCAGTGTTGTCCTAACAACAACTACATAAGCGAGGTGGCCAAGTTTGCAGGCTTCCTCCTGGACTTTGCTTGATTCACCTCCAAGGACAAACCCATCTCCTCTTAGCAGTTCTCAAAGGCACTCAGCCAGACAAGAAGGAGAAACAGCCTATCCACTCCTTTCTGTTGAAAGGTAAAGGAATGCTGAGCAGACTAGTTGATGAGCACTGGGGCTAGAAGGGGAAGGAAACACTCACCTTGTTTTCCTGTTTTGGATGAACCGGGCAGAATTCAAGTTGTTCCCTAACCTGGCTCCATCTCCTGTTGTTAGCTGCCCTTGAGTCAGCCAGCTCATAGCAACCCCCTGCAGAACAGAACAAACCCTCTGCCCCATCCTGCACCCTCCCCATGGTCAGCTGCAGACTGGACCACTGTGATCCGTAAGGTTTTCAATGGCTGATTTTTAGAAGTAGATCTCCAGGCCTTTCTTTCCAGTCCATCTTAGTCTGGAAGCTCTGCTGAAACTTGTTCAGCATCACGGCAACACGCAGGCCCCAGTGACAAGACAGGTAGTAGCTATGCATGAGGTGTGTTGACCAGGAATGGAAGACGGGTCTACCACGCGGAAGGCAAGAATTCTACCACTGAACCACCGCTGCCCCCTCTCTATCTCCCAACAATTGGATAAATTATCTAATCACTTGCCTTTCCCAAGACGTTTTAAGAAACCAGTAGGTAAAGGATTCAAAACTCCAATCAAACCCAAGCCAAACCTGCTGCCTTCGAGTCACTTTCGACTCATAGTGACCCAACAAAACCGGGTACAACTGCCCCCTTCAGGTTTCCAACGATGTGATCTTTACAGAAGCAGACTGCCATTATTTTTCTCCCAGGGAGCAGCTGGTGGGTTCAAACCACCAACCTTCTGGTGAGCAGGCAATCACTTAACCACTGGGCCACCAAGGCTCCTTAACTCTAATCAAAAGGAGGTTTATCTCCTGCCTACCCCTCAGGGAATCCTAAAACAAATCTTAGTAACTATTCACCTGTTTTTAGAACTACAAAACCACCCTCATGCCCCAATCATTTCATTCTCTTTGAACAAAATGCTTACACTGGTTATCTCCTGGAAAGGTTTCAGAGGGGGAAGGGAAGGCACTGCCTCCTTAAAGAATCTTGTTCAGAGTTATTAAGTGAGTTTCTCGAGGGTAGTGCTGGGTATTTGAGTCTTCTCTCCCTCTTGTCCTCCCCCGTAATACTTCCACAAGTTGTAACCTGACATGCCTGTTCTTTGAGTCAGAAATACGACAACTATTCAGATAAGCCAGTGGAATTTAAAGTACAGGCTCATTTCTTTGCTGGTGAAGACTAGAGTACGCTTATAATATTAGGCGTGCCTCCCTCTCAAATGTGTGCAGATAAATCCTGCAGCTAGTAACATACCAAGCACTCAGGAGATGTTTAATACCAATTTGTGGAATGAAGTAATGAACCCTATTTTAATGTACTGGGACATTTTCACCCTTAAAGGATTATGGTATTTAACATAAAGGAATTTTTATACCTTTAAAAAATGTTTTCATAACTTAAAAAAAAAAATTTTGTTGTTGTTTTCACGTGTAAGGAGCTTAACGTGAGGTTAACTTTAAATTTCAACACCTTTGGTTTTTTTTTTAAGACCGCATAGCAACGTGAAAAGAGCTTGGTGTTTGGAGGCAGACCCATTTTTGACTCCCAGTTCTGGCATATTTTGAATAATGTATAATTTATGGACTTGCAATGAGTCAATGAGGTGGCCTGTGACATTCCTGCACGTGGTGGGAGATGGGAATGGAAGGTAGGGGGTGGCCTTCCTACTAGGCCATATCATCTGTTATCATGGCAAGGTTTGGGGTCTTTTAATTCCCTGGTAAAGAGTCACTCGGAGTCCCCGAGTGGTGCAAATGGTTCATCGAGAGGTTGAAGGCTCAAGTCCACCCAGAGCTGCCTTGGAAGAAAGACCTGGTGATCTACTTTGACAAATCAACCCTGTGGAGCACAGCTCCACTCTGACACACACGGGGTCATCGTGAGTCGGAATCGCTGAGATGCTGTTCGCTTCAGAGGCCAGAAAAAAGGAGAAGGGGCCGCATCTCTCAGGTTCAACCCCATTGGTCACATCTACACTTAGCCTTCTCATGTTTGGATACACTTTTTTTTTAAATGTGCTTTTCTATATTATAGGGGCCTTGGCGGCACAGTGGTTAAGTGTTTGGCTGCTAACCAAAAGGTCGGCAGTTGGAATCCACCGGCTGCTCCTTGGAAACCCTATGGGGCAGTTCTACTGTCCCATAGGGTTTCTATGAGTTGGAATAAACTCAACGGCAATGGGTTCTATATTATATTTTGGATCACATTTACCAGTGTAACAGCTAGGGCCCCCCACGAAGCCTCTAACAGACCTGTTCTTTATTAAAGGCTTGCTACATACCTTAAGTGCAACAGAAACTCTCACCAGCTCATGAAGATCTCCAAGGAAAAAAAAAACAAACCTGTTGCCATTGATTCCCACTCATAGAGACCCTGCAAGACAGAGCAGAACTGCCCCTTAGAGTTTCCAAGTTTCTTTACAGGAGCAGACTGCTGCCACATCTTTCTCCTGTGAAGTGGCTGGTGGGTTCGATCAAACCTCTAACACCTTTCAGTTAGCAGTCGAGCACTTAACCACTGTGACACCAGATCTCAGGGACTCTGAAATTGGCAAACATTGCAGGGAAATTTGTATGTCGCATGATTAATCTCATGTGGACTGGTTCTGGAAAAAGCACATGTGCGTCTGCAGCAAGCAGCAGCTTGCACAATCTCACAAAATAAGCTGTTTCATGGAGAGGCCCTGAAGTCCGGGTTTTGGACTGAAGTTCAGAGTAAGGGTGGGGCTTGGCCATGGCAGAAAATGCCAGATGTGTGGACAACGGATCTCCTTTGAGTACGCTAACATTCAAAGAGACAGCACACAGGACAAGCTGATACAATGAAGCCAGAGCCTAACACTGGGTGAGGGAAGCCCAGTAGGGTGTAGGATCATATGAGAAGGATAATAAAATTCATCACCATAATTACCCCCAGCCCAGCTCCCCAACAAGCGCCAGCAATAGCTCAGCTCAATGAAGTTATTCATCCATATTCAAGTCGCCTTGCTCATTATCTGCAGACAAAAACCCCACTGGGCCTCACTCCTTCCAGGAGTCCAGCAGCGCCCCGCACCCCGCCCGCCCCATGGTCACCCGGCAGCCCCCTCCCCCAATAGTTGAGCAGACCTTCTTTCTTCAGCAACCCAGTTTCTAGTACCAACTTCAGTTGTTTTTTCAGACAAGACTTAACACCACCTTTTAGGAGTATCCGGGACATTCAGGAACTGGTTTAAGATAATTACAGCTAAGCCTTCCCAGGGAGACAAGGGAGGATGAGTCTCAGCTGCTGTCCTTAGTAGACCTGGGATACCGCTCCGTTAGAGGGCCTCCCACACCTCTTACTGGAAAGCACAAAATGGTGTCATTTGCACATTGTCTCGCCAAAAAGGAAATGCAGCTGAAATACACAACTGTATTCCAGGGGAAACAAAACCAAAGATAGGGCTGCATGAATAGCCCACGGCAGCGTAAAGAGAGTTGCTCATTCTCCCCAAGGCTGACCGTCTAGCACAGAGCAGACAGCCTGTATAATTTCCCTCAAGCGGGATATTTTTGTCTCTGCATGAATTATAGAAACCTAGGTTAGGTATGCCCCCTCCCTCAAACTCTTCCCTCCAGGAAGGATCCCTCTGGGACTAGGTCTAGCTCACTTTTTAGTTTGCAGAATGAAGGAGTTTAAAGGTTCAGAGACCAGCTCACCAACCTCCAACCCCAAGGATCACTAGTGGGCTAACCATGTCTTCAACCAATATTTAGTGAACACCTACTACGTGCCAGACACTGTTTTGACCCTGGGGATCAAGATTAGATGGAGCTGTGTCCTCAGGAACTTCTACTCTACGGGGGAAACAGATAAAAATAAAAGCCAAGGAAAAAATAAAATATTGACCAGCACTCATGGATGTCACAGCACACTGGGCAGAAAGAGGAAAGCGATATGGAGTAAGAGGGGGAAAGGGAAGAGGCAGGTGATGGGGCAAGTAGCACCCCTTCTCATCAAAATCTTATACATTTAAAGTTATTTAAAGGAATCACAACTATAATTTAGTTATTGACATAGGTCAGGTTCAACATGTGGCCCCAAGCCAATTTAAACCTCAATTTTCACAATTCTTCACTGCTCAGACTACTAAGTCAATACTTTGGCTCTTTCTCTCCCCTCCACACGCACTATCCCCTTTAGCTGAGGCCTCTTCCAGCACCTGTCCAGTGGTGGGGTACCAAGTGCGTCTCCATGCTGGCCCACAGGGTGTAAGGCCGGGCGACCCCAAAGGAAAACAAGCAGGGAGAATTCCTCGCCCCCACACCGCCCCCCACCTCAGGTCCCTCTAGACTCCAGGGGCCAAATCTTCTTTGGCCTTGGGTATCCCTCCAACACACCGCCCTGCGGGAAAGCCCAGTCGCCTGCCAGGGAGGACGGCTTGTTGCTGTTATCTCCGACCCAAACCGGGATTGTGAGCTGAGCAGGTGGTAGCAGGAGGTCAGGTGGCCCGGAGCCAGGCCCCTCTGCCCCCACCTTGCTGCCGGTGGTTGGGGACCCGCTTATCTGTTTCTTCGGGACTCGGCACCAGCTAAGCAGTAGCTGCCTCTCCTCCTCCTGGGTTGGGAGCCAGGTTCGCACATACACTCGCAGCTCCTTCCGCTCTCCTGGGCAACCTCACATACCAGGCGAAGCCTACCAGCAAGTCTCCGCTCGTCCCCACCAGCAATGGAAGGCATCGCTCCTGCTGGCTCTTACCTCCTTCCGCCAGGACCCAGAGCGATGCGCTTCCCAAGATGCAGAGCAGAACCGGCACCTTCAACATCGTTGTACTTGGCTGATTCTCTCTGGGGCCGAGCAGCTAGTGTTTGTGCTGGGCGAAAATAAAAAGCTCGTAGCCCCAGGCCCTCGCCTGGAGGAGCAAAAGAGCGGGACAGGAATTCGGGGAGCAAAAGGGCCAGCGCGGGAGTCCGCAAGCTTTCTTCGCTGAAGCAGACGGAGCAGCCGGTGTTCGGGAGAGCAAACTTTGCAGTTCAGAACTTTCTGAGCGGAGTCAGCATTTATCTCTCCAAACGAGGGCGGGGAGCGTGGTCCCGCAAGGTGGTCCCAGACCAAGACGCACTAGGACCGCCCCCCAGCTCTGTTTGGCCAGCGCGAACTCGATGATCTCAGACCTGGTTTAAAGTTACAGGCCGTCTGTTGCGGGGGCAGCCAGGACGCGTGCGAGGCCCGAACCCTCCCCAAATTGGCTTTTATTCTGTTCAAATACAGGAGGCTAGGGGAGCGCCAAGGTGGGGCGGGGGAATACAATGAGCAGTTCATTCTGACTCTCTGTTGTTCTATTTTTTAAGAGTAAGGCACAAGCTTGGGTTTTTCTTGGGTTTTCAAAGGTTCCTTGTGTGGCCAGTCATTTTAGATCCCGGCATGGGATTGTTCCTGTAAATATTGAATTTAATGACTTAAAAAAACCAAAGCGGCTGTTCTCATCTGGGCAGGCCAGAGGCGTCTCCGGCTGGTAAATTACTGTCTTGTCCCGGGCGCCCGAGCCGGGAGGCTCCGGCGGGGCTGCCCTAGAGCGCTGGCAGGGAACTGTGCGCACGCACTCGGTAGCTTGGGCAGTTTTGAGAAAACACTGAGCAGGGAACCCGCCCCTCCTGGCCCTCGATGCTGAGCTTGGCCAACGCAGCGCCTCTAGCGTCGTGCACTGTCGGAGGAGGCACAGCCGCCTCCGCAGCCGGAGACGTCAGACGGGACCCACCTGGGCACCAAGCCTGCTTGTCCACTTCGCGCTCGGACTCGTCCCCTTCAAGGCTGGAGTTTGGCCACATAATTCCCACTTTGCTTCTTTAAACAATCTCGTCATGATCTCAAGTATGAGATATTAGGAACAGGAAGTGCGCATATAACAGTTCAGAAGGAAATAAACATATATATATTTACTGAACATATAAATAAGAGCCCTGGTGGCACAGTGGTTAAAGCACTCCACTGTGAACCAAAAGATAGGCCGTTAGAACCCACCAGCTTGCAGGAGAAAGATGTGGCAGTCTGCTTCCCTAAAGATTTGTAGCCTTGGAAATCCTATGGGGCAGTTCTACTCTGTCCCATAGGATCGCTCTGAGGCAGAAACAACTGCAGAGCAGTGGATTTGCGGTAGAAATAAATATATATTTATATATACAGTAAAACCTGTGAAAGCCGGAACCTGTGTAAGGTGGAAACTTGTTCAGAGAAGGAAAACTCAAATATTTTCCACTAATAGAAAAAGTGGTAAGACTGCACCCTGTTAAAGGTGACAGTTTGAGAGATCCAGAAGAACAAGGCAGTCCTGGGGAGTCCCGGCTCTCACAGTTTTCACTTTATAGTTATTTACTATGTTTTGTGTGTGTGTGTGTATATAAAACCAAACCCATTGCCGTGGAGTCAATTCCAAGTCATAGTGACCCTATAAGACAGAGTAGAACTGCCCCATAGGATTTCCAAGGAGCAGCTGGTGGATTCAAACTACCGACCTTTTGTTTAGCAGCCGTAGCTCTTAACCACTAAGCTACCAGGGTTCCATGCATATATATATATATATATATATAT